AACACTTGATATATTTTTTTTCATCCAAATTAGAATGGTAGCATCTGAAGGCAAGATATGTGTTTACTTTGTATTACACTGAGTGTGTGTGTGTGTGTGTGTGTGTGTGTGTGTATATATATATATATATATATATATATATATATATATTTGTAATTTCTGTTTAATAAATAGTATAATTTTCTGTGGCCCTATATAGATTTGCTTTCAAAATATCTAGTCATAATTAATCCCTGTAATAAAATGTACCCATAATTCATAATTCATTATAATCTGAAAAATCCTTAAGTCATTTCTTATGAATGCATTAAGTTTAAATATAATGTAACTAAGTGCAGTGTGAGAATTTCAACCTCTTTATCATAGATGAATCTCCTTTAGTCAAAAGAATTTTGAAGATATTTTAATATAAGTAACACTTTTCTCATTTTGTAAACATAGTAACTTTAATAAAAGTAWCTTTGTCATAGCAATAAATAGTAAGAAATGACCAAAAGTTTATTTTTGAACTGAATATCACCTAGACAAAACTGGCCCCCCCAAAAGAAATACTACCTGTTCAAGGAATTTAGATAAAATTTACATATCATCATGATGCAATCAGAAAACAAGACATTAATACATGGTTTATTTATTAGAACTGGAAAAACTTTCATAGATTATCCTCATCTTTCATTTTAGAAAGGAAGYCACTGAGATACAGAGATGAGAGATGATTTGTTAAACACCACAGAGATCACAAATATCCAGTTTAATGGAGGTGTAAGGGAATTCTAAGTCAGTGGCATTTAAACATGTGTCTCTCTAATTTGGAGCAAGCAATTGACTTTAYATGTAAATAAGACATCCAATATCAGGTGTACCACTAACACAGAAATAGTACTATCTCAAATGTAATAACACAGTGCTAAGACACCCTAAACTCTAAGATACATCCCAGGTTCCAAATTACTAAATGGTACAGGAAAAAATTTTAAAACAATTTTTATGCATATGTACTATATAATGAAAATCAGAAATTTTACATGGGATAGTCTCTATTCTATTTTTTAATGGTGTTCTGAGTCCACTAAATTGATTTTACCACCCACTAATGAACTGACCTGATCTAAACACTAATCTGAATCATGTGTCACAGATAATTAGAAACCTTGTTAACATATACAACCAAGGTGCTAATTGTTCAATTTGATAGTAGGTGGTGAAGAAGAAAAGAAACCATTTAATGTGGACAGAAACCACCTGGAAAGTTCTCAAATTAGAAAGAGTTTACCCTTGAATGGATTGGTAATATATAGTATAATAAAGGAAAAGAATTGAGAAACATTTTGGGAAAATAAACATCTCAAATGTAGATGTAAAAACAAAACAATTTTCTTTAAAGAGAAAAATCTAACCATTTAGCTTTATAAAAATATTTAAGGACACCATTTTTTAAAAAAGTTTTTTTTTAGTTAGGGATGGACGCAATATCTTTGTTTTATTTATTTTTCTTATTGTTTTTATGTGGTGCTGAGGCTTGAACTCGTGGCCTCACACATTCAAAGGAAGTGCTCAACCACTGAACTACAACCCCAGCCCTAAGGACACCATTTTTTAAAAATAATTTTTATCAACAGGATAAATTTTTCCCCCCACACTTACTTTATTGGTATGTCATAGTTGTACATAATGGTGGAATTTGTTGTTTCATATTCGTACATGCACACACTATAACAATACAATTTGGCCAAAGTCCCTTCCCAGCATCCCCCCCCCCTTTTCTTCCCTTCTTCCACTCCCTTGTCCCTTTCCTCTATTCTACTGATCTCCCTTTGATTTTCATGCCATCACCCCCCCCACCTTTCTTTTCCTTCTTCCATATATAAGGGAAAAAATACGACCCTTGACCTTCCGAGTTTGGCTTATTTCTCTTAACATAATAGGCTCAAGTTCSATCCATTTATGATGAAGATGAATTTTCATGTCTTGACTGCAAAAAACATAGCAACCTGAAAAAACTTAAATGAGGTTTCCAAATAATGAAAATATAGAAAACGAACATCTTAGACAAAACTTCATGCAATATCTTTTTTTTTTTTTTTTTCTATCCCTCTCTATATAAATTCAAAAGGGATTAAGAAGCCTGGTAGCAAAGTGGCCTGAAAACAGCAGACTGGGCGTTCCCCTTTCCCAGTTTTTCTGTGTTTATTTTAGATTCAGGGATGGATTGCATAAATAAAGTATTAAAATCACCTTCTTGCCAGTCTCTGCATTGAAAAAAAAAATCAAGATATAATGAGGTATCTAGTATAAAGCTAGCTAACTGAAATCCTGGATGACTTGGTCTACATTCATCCTCAGAATTTTATCTCAACTCCGGACAAAAAGCAGACAAACAAAAACAAACCCAGAAGCCCATTTTGTATGTGTATGTAAAATGTGCACACCACTGTGCAAATATGTGCTCATATTCCAAAAATGTGCAAACTTGGCAGTTAGGAAATGTCAGTGCAATCGTCAGTAAGTGAAATTTCAATCCTTTTGATGAAGATACCATCTTTCAGCCAACTCCTGACAGAAAACCTTGGGTTCCTGTTAGACCCCTCCCTCCCCAGTCAACTGCTGGACTCCATCTGGAGGGATGGGGGCTCTCCCTCTCCATCATAGCTAAGCGTTCCCAGACCCAGGAGCAACCCTGGGTTCCTGCAGAGCACTCAACGTGCAGCGTAGTGTCTCAACTCTGCAAAGGACAGCTGGAAATGGATTTAAAATGGCAACGCGGACCAATCAGCGCCGTCGCGGGGAAGCAGACATTTACACGCGCCTCCTTCACATTCACAGCGGAACCTGGCGGTGCCTGACTGCCTGCCTAGGGCTGCAGAGCAGGCGTTTTTATTACACGGTGGTCTGTATCTTTGAAAGAAAAATTCTTCCCCGGGTGAAAGTTTTTATTTTGGAATTAGTCCAAAATAATTTTGGGTGTGATGTGTGAAAACCCGAACCTAATTTTTTTTTCGGTTTGTGTTATTCAAGGATGAAAAAGAGGTGTATTTAAAAAAAAAAAAAAAAAGAGTACTCCACCTTTTTAAAAAGGACCGTGGCCAGTATGGTGTTCACAGAGCTCAGCAACAGCCCAGGCTATAAAATAGGACAGAAAAGGAAAAGGTTAAATAAAGGTAAACTGAAAAGACGGTTCAACCGTGCTGTTGGCAATCTGTGAGGTCCCCTTTAAGGTCACTGAGCGTCCCGGTGCGTAGCACCAGTCGCAAGGGGACTTTGTGTGGCCCCTAGTCTTTCTTGGAGAAAAAAGCTCAGTGAAGAAACTGGCGCGTTCCGCGTGCTTGTGTCTACAAAGGTGCCATGTCTGTATGCCTGTTATGTATGTGTGTTTAAGTTCGCCTGTATTTACATGCGTGTTTACGAGTGCATATTGTGTGAGCGTGTGCACGTGTGTCTGCGTGCAAGTGCGCATGTGATTATGCGTGTGTATCTTCGTGAAAGTTGCCTGTGTGCGTGCTCGCCGCGCGCCCAGGGGTGAGGAAATCCCTAGGTGGAGTAGGGCTGTCAGGGGCCAGCTCCTACTTCTCGGCAGTGCCTTCCCACTCAGTGAACTAGGACGCTGCAGCCCTTGCTGCTAGACGCTTCCGGCAAAGTTTTGGCTCCGCGCGGTGGAGGCGCAGGTAAAGGCCGAGCTCTAAAATGTGTCTTTGGGGCAGTCAAGTTCCCGCGCCTTCCCAGGACGCCCGCCCGGGAGTGACCTCCCGGCCAAAGGGGCGAGGCCCGCAGCTGGTCGGCTGGGGATCCCCGGTCTGTCCCTTTAACCCCGCCGCCCGGCGGGAGCACGTGAGCCGGGCTCGGGGTGGCACCCGGGCGCCGCCGCCGCCGCCGCCAAGGCAGTTGTATTTCGAACTCTGTCTCTGGCCCGCGGCCAGGCGCCTTGGCTCGGCGGTCTGCCTGGCCTCCCTCCTCCTCATACTTTTCCTCCTGCGCAGCCCCCTCCCCTTTATCCGCCCACGATTAGAGGTGGGCACTCCCCCCCCGTCCCGCCACCCCCGCCGCAAGCACACACACACTCATCCCCCTTGAATCCTGGGGCAGGAACTCAGAAAACTTCCAGCCCGGGCAGCGCGCGCTTGGTGCAGGACGCAGAAGCTAGCGGCCAGTCTCTCCGACTCTTCGGTGCCGCCGCTGCCTGCTCCCGCCACCCGAGGAGGCGCGGTGCCACCCACTCCTCTGTCCCTTGCTTGCGCTGAGTGCCCGACTTAAGCTCGACCGCATCTTCCCTTTCCCTCCCGACTGCCCAAGTCACTGTTTCTCTCTCTCTCTCTCTCTCTCTCTCTCTCTCTCTCGAGCGGGGGGAAAAGAGGAGGAGGAATTCTTTCCCCGACTTAAGCTCGACCGCATCTTCCCTTTCCCTCCCGACTGCCCAAGTCACTGTTTCTCTCTCTCTCTCTCTCTCTCTCTCTCTCTCTCTCTCTCTCTCTCTCGAGCGGGGGGAAAAGAGGAGGAGGAATTCTTTCCCCGCCTAACATTTCAAGGGACACAATTCACTCCAAGTCTCTTCCCTTTCCAAGCCTCTGCCGAAGTGCTCCCAGTGCCCGCAACTCCTGATCCCAAACCGAGAAGAGTCTCTCCAACTTCAAACCCTCTTTTCTTTTCCTCGGCTTCCCTCCTCCGCTCGCTACCTCCACCGCCAAAACCACCTCCACCTTCAGTACTCACCCACCACTGTCGCCGCCACCGGCAGCGCCTCCTTCTCTCCTCCTCCTCCCCTCTTCTCTCTTTGGCAGCCGCTGGACGTCCGGTGTTGATGGTGGCAGCGGCGGCAGCCTAAGCAACAGCAGTCCTCGCAGCACTCCAGCTCTCGCTCTCCCTGCCTGCTTTTCCAGCCCTCTCACCCAGTCTCCCGAAAGGTGCTGGGCAGATTCCGGGTGGCTGAGGCTGCAGCGGCGGTAGCGGCGGCGGTAGCGGCGAAGGCAGCGCTTGCGGCGGCGGCGGCGGCGGCTGCAGGAGGCAGGATGAGCGCACGCGGTGAAGGCGCCGGGCAGCCGTCCACTTCAGCCCAGGGACAACCTGCCGTCCCGGCGCCTCAGAAAAGAGGACGCGGCCGACCCAGGAAGCAACAGCAAGTCAGTACGCGGGCGCGGCGGGGGCACTAGTCCACCTCCATGTCCTCTGCGAGGGCCCCCGACGCGTCGGGCGACCAGAGCGCGGGAGCCTAGTGTCCGCGGCGGCTTCACACAGCCGGCTGATCAGGGGGGCGGGCGGCGGAATCCCCTTAGAGTTCACCGCGGAGCTCCAGCTCCCCTTGGGGATGGGAGGTGGGGAGTCGCTGCGGGCGGCCCTGGAAAGGCGGGAGGTGGGGTCGTGCGAAGCACGTCCTCGGACTTTCGCTATTGTGCACGGCCCTGAGTGGCGCGGGGTCTCCTGGTGACTGGAAGCGGCCGGGGTCCCACAAATCAGGGCTTGCCAACTCTCTCTAAGCTGCCTTTGCAATTACCCGGGGAAGCGAGTCTCTGGGGACTAGGGCACTTTAGCCGGTTGGGGTTGAAGGGGCTGGAGTCCTGGGGCCCAGAGGCTCTTTCTCCCGCCTCTTGGGGCTGATAGCCGGCATTTGGCGCGCCGCAGTCGCCCCCCTTGGCGCCCTCCCCAAGCTCTCGGTGGCCCAAGGCTCGCGCCCTCCCGACAAAGAACGCGTGGGTACCGGGCTGCCGGGTGCTCTTAAGGGATCTTTAAATTCCCTGCGACAGCAGCCAAAGGTGGTCCGGGGAAGGGGCTGTAGGGGATCCTAGGCGCCCAGCCGGACGGGTTAACTCGCTTCGCCCAGGGCGCGTTGGAAGGAGTGTCCGAGAAAGTGCACAGTAGCTAGGGTCACTTCCTCGCCAAGCGCCCTGTCTCCCTTTTGCTCCTGGATCCCACGTTAATGTTCTTTCGCATTAAATGCTCTTCCCTGGGACGAGCGGCTGGGGGCTGGGAGGGTACAATCGAGGGGCGCCCGGGACCCCGCGGAGCAGAGGGTTTTGTCTGCGGATGCAACCAATTAAGCGTGCAGCAGGCTCTTGCAGAGCTGTGCGCAGCGCCCAGGGCGGGGGGTTTTGTTCGCTGCAATTTCCAAGGCTCAGCCAGCGGGGTTGGAGCAGGACATGACCACAAGAACATTTAAACTCCGCTTCTTCGGACTTTAAAACTTCTTATTTCCTTATTCTTAACTCACGTTCCTCATGGCAAATAGATTGATGAGAAAATAATCCTAGAGTCCAAAACCTACCCGAGAGCAAACTGAGGGAAATTGAACAACGTTTGCTTACCAATGCATTTTAGAAAAACTGAGAGGGTTGTACCTATTTGAAATCATCAAAGGAAACAAGCCAATCTAGAGGCCCCTGAGTTTTCCCGCTCTGCGCAAGCGACACTTTATATCGCCTTTGGATCCTGTTTTACACCTCCCAGGAAGTCTCTGCCCTACACCGCCCCCCCCCCATTTCCCACCAGCCACCCAGCTCTGCTAATTTGCACCCACCTACACACACACACACACACACACACACACACACACGCAAAAAAAAAAATCTAAAAGAAAATGTTAGGGAATCTGGAGGTGATTGGAAGTTTTACCTTCGAGTTAAGGAAGAGTTCACCAAAGAAAGAAAAATGTGTCTAGGGATGTGTGTGTTCAGGATGTGCCCCACTGGAACTAGTATCCCTCAGAAGCCTGTAAGGAACTGTTCCCAGATTATCTAAGTAGGATGTGAATTTTCATTGAGAACTTTCATGCATTTTAATTAGTCTGATTTAATCACCGAATCTGAATGAAATGTGAATGATTCACGGGATAAATATTTAAGATTTGAAATAGTAATCATCACATTTTCTTAACCACTTAGTATTTACTACTTGGCATAGGAGCCATTTAAAGTTTTGCTTATAGAAATGATTGTTTCAATTTCTCCTTCCCAGATATTTCCTCTTATCTTCCCTTTCCTCCTTTTGGTTTCCTCCAATCCATCACCATAAAAGTATCCTGAATAAAACATGCTTATTCGTATAAAAAGAAACTTAAATTTCGACTGGAGACCATGCCCGCCTCATGGAAAGGAAGTGGAGAATTGAAGCAATTATCTAGTTAATTCAAGCAAAACCTCCCCCCTCAGGTTTACCATAATTATTTGGAACTTTTAGGGGGAATGGAATTGTTTTGAGCTGAAGAAGTTGGGTAATTGCTCCAATATTTCACTCAGAATGTGTCGAATGACTCCTAATCAATTTAGAATGCACATGTACAGAGATGATTAAAAGATACCTTTTCAATATGAAGATTATTGAGAAAGCTAGCTTCATATTTCTGTTGTTTGAAATAATGGATAGTGGTATTCATGTAAAATGATCATTATTTCCATGTATTGCCAAATGCATAACCATGTAAACTTTTATATCTTAAAAATATATGATTTTCTTTCTAGAACATGCAGCCTTTTCAGATTTTGCTACCATTTTGGGTTTGAAATAAAATCTAGTTTTCTTATGCAAAATAGTTTTCTCTTTGAATTCTTGAATTAAAAGTATAGTCATTTCCCCTTTCTGTAAACTCTGTACTATTATCATCCACTTATATTTGAACTGAATGTATTCCAGCAGCTCTGTTGAGCAGCACATGCAGAAAACATAGCTAAAGAGTCTGGGTCAATTTCTTTCAGACGGTCTTTGCCACAACAGCATTTTTTTCCTCCCACAATTAGGAGCCAACCTGTGAGCCCTCACCTAAGAGACCCAGGGGAAGACCTAAAGGCAGCAAAAACAAGAGTCCCTCTAAAGCAGCTCAAAAGGTGAGAATTCTCAAGTCAAGCTCTCCTAATTTCATTAATGACTGCAGGAACCTCCTTTTAATTTTCCCATTTTAAATCCACACCTAAAGATTTGTCCCAGATGGGTAACCCTGCATTTAACATTAGTTGGATGGGAGTTAATCTTTTTTTTCTGAGTGATGCTTAGCAAAAAAGTTTCCAGCAGTTAGTTAAAGTGTTTTTAAACAAACACTACCAAATAATATGAACCTTAAAATGCTGGTGGAGGAGTGAAGGGGTGGGGGTGGATGGTTGGGGAAGTGAATGATAAAATTAATATTTGAATCAATGGTTAAAGAGTTAAAAATATTAAAACTATAAATTTTGTCTGGTAGTGAAATTCTTGCAGTTTCCTCTGAAAAATAATAGAGATTAATTTACTTGGTGCTTATTTAAATGACTACTGTAAGCCAAGTCCCCCTTTTAAGGTTATGTGTTTTGCCAAATAGACAATAATTAGAAATTAATCCATTTATGGAATGCTGGAAAAAATTTCATGAACTTTACAACTTTAAATGTGATGACAATGTATCACTGTTTGTTTTATAATGAACCTGCAATATAGTATATCATAATCCCTAAAACCTTTTCATAAAGTGTTATTCTCTGAATTGAACAATGAGATTTTAAAACAAATATTTTACTCAAATATATATATATATATTTACATATACATATACATACATATATAGGTAGAATATATGTGTGTGTGTGTGTGTGTGTGTGTGTGTGTGTGTGTGTGTGTGTGTGTTTGGGTAGGATAGAACCCAGTCAAGTTTAACAGTCAAAGTTTTGGAAAAATTTAAATTGCAGCTTAAAATAACTTCATGTTGGTTGTATTTGAGTTAGCAAAGAGGAAATATCTCAAGATACATTGTTGCATAGAGGTGAAGGTGAATTTAAAAGTCAATTTTGACTTTATGAATCATAAAAGTTTGCATTTTATTTGAAACTTTGTATAACAGTTGAAAACAAAGGTTCAAAAATTACAAGTAAATTTTATCTTCTTAAGATCTGAATATGTCATGTATAGTATTTGTTTAAAGGACCATGTATTCATCATTTTGAGATCAATGTTTTGTTTTTTCTGTGACTGTGCACCAAGTACATTATATGTGATCGTTTTCAGTGATGTAAACTGCCATAGTTCTAGTGATACATATTGTTATTTATAAGTAACTATGATTTGTCTGTTTTATTTTAATAGTTTTGAACAAAGTTGAAGGGCAAATTTCTCATATATTTAACTGTTTCTTAAAGTTTACATTTAATTGTAACTCATATTTATCAGTAAATTTCAAAGGAGCTCTAAAAAACTTTTAAAAGCTCTAAGAACCTTTAAAAGTGACAGAACATAATTTGGTGTTCTTAATATGAATACTTTCTATTTGTTCTGTTTTACCTGGTGTATAAATTAACTAAAAAGAACTAATTTTCGTAGGTATTCTAATAGGAGTTATTTCAGGTTCTATAAGCATGAAATTTACCTTACTTATTTTTTCTCTCAGCAATAGCAAACCTGTGTGTAGCTAAAATCATTTGAGCTACCATGTAATTGTTCTAAAAAAATGCATTGTTACATCTTTATAGCTCACCATAAATAAATTTTTAAAAATTTGATGCAAAAAAGGAAAATGAATAATTTCCCAAATWTTTTTATATTTCTTTATTTAGTTAGTTTTTTTTTTTTTTGAGGAAGTAGGTAGAAATGGCCCCATCTCCTTCTCTGATCTTTAAAAAGATTACCACTGACCAATAGCATCTTTATTGACAAAAGGAAATCTGAGACTTGTGCGTAATTTACCATTCAAAGCAAAATAACAAAATTTGATCTATTCCCAAGTAACATTTGTTTTATTTTTAGTGACTTCAGTGATAGGCATTTACAAAGACCCTTCTAGGCCACTCATCTCCTTTATAATTCTTCCTGTGTATGCAAATATTTGTGTAGTTTCCAAAMCAGAGGTTTTCTTTCTCCCAAAGAAGTCCTTTTTTGAAATATTTTATTCTTCCAAACATAATCATTTCATATAATTCATTTACAAAATTCCCTCTTCTAATAAAAGTGAATAAATACATTTGCCCATAACATGACTGTTATTTTTCTTCAGTTTTATTAATTAAGCTTCATTTGGAGAAGATAATACTTTGCAAAATAATGATGACATTGATGAATTGTTCATGGCATGTATAAACTTAAGGCATTTCACTTTGAAATCAGTATTGATTGAATGTGCTTCTATCCCATATAGACATGATTATCAAACATATCCTTGTTTATCAAATATGTATTGTATTCTAAAAAAGCATATGTTCATTAGGATTTTCAACTACAAATGTTTTTAGAAAAATATCGTTGATAACATGTAAAATAAAAACAAAGAAACAGCAACAACAACAAAAAACCTCCTGTAGAATGACTAGAGTAGATACGAGAAGTCTTCTATGGTTAATAAATTGAGAGTTTTCTTACATACTGGATTCATCACAATGAAAAATGTATCATAAAAATTGGTAAGTATATGAGAGAAAAGAACTCTAATGTTAAAGGAGAATCCTGATATTGTGTGTTTAACATATCTTGCTGCTTGGTGTTTGTATTTTACTTACAAAGTTTGTGTTTGGACTCAGCAACTGGCCTTGAGATATCTGAAAACCAAACTGCTTGTTAGAAAATTAACAGTGTGAAACTTGACAACGAATGCAGAATGTGTCAAGACCAAGTGGAGACTGGCTACCAAATTAGCCATCACTTGAATTTTAGGCTGATTTAATAGAAAATTGATTTATGTAGTATGTCAAACAAATTTATAAAAAAACACAATTTATGTCTGAAACTTGTGGAAGAAAAAAATTATTCTTCAGTCTATTTATATTCCATTAACACCAATTCCCATGGATGACCATTCTGTGACAATTCCAGTCATTCCTAAGAACTCCAATCTGAGTATGTCTGAATGGGTTTCATATTGTTACCCTTAATAAAAGAAATCTGAAGTTAATGTTTTTCTGAATAAATACTTTATCCAAAAGAAAGAGAAAGATAGAGTGTATACATGAGTTTGTTCACCCTTTTATTTATTTTTTAGATTGAGATACACTTTTGACCAGTTGTCTCTTGCTCCACCCCTCAAGTCCCTACCCCCACCATTATCTAACCCCCCTCACTTTTTTTTTTTTTTGCAATGCTGGGACTCCAACCCAGGACTTTCTACATGCTAGGTAAGCACTCTATCACTGAGCTACAACCTGGGCCTTATAGTTGTCTCTTAATTTCCTCTTTGTTTTGTTTTGCTTTTCTCTCTTGATTGTGATGTGTAGAAATACTTTGAATTTTCCCAATTCCTGTGTCTGAAAAGAATGAAGGTATAATATCGTTTGTTTCATTTGGGATTCTGTTGTTCCTTTTCAATCATGAAAGAATATTGGAGGGACTGACACTACTTCTGTATGTAAAGTCACAAGTTAAATTTATCTTTAAATTTCAAGCCAGTTCTCACACAAGTGCTCCTAAGAAAAATGTATTTTTCTGAGATTGAATTATATTTTCATAAAAGGGAAATGAATTTTTTAAAATGTCAGGTGTAAGATAATCCTACTTCATAAGTCAGATTTGCTTGACCTTCCTTTTGACTTTAGGTGAAATGGCCAGACCAAGAGAGCAAAGTGCAGAATTAAAGTATCATTTGGTAAAGTATGCATGCTTCAAAGAAAGTCTTCAGAAAAATATTTAATTTCCATCTTCAATTTGCTATGAAAAGATAGCCTGATATTAATTGGGTACTAAAAAGACTCATTCATACTCCTAATCATTTGCATTCCTAGAAATGGGATTGATTTTTTTTWAAATAAATTAATTACTAACACCAATCACAAAAATTTTAGGAGGAGAAAATTTGGGATTTACTTATCAATTCAGAAAAATCTTACAGCATAGGTGCTGCATGAGGACAGGATTTTCTTTACAGAACATAGTAGGCCCAAAAGCATCATTGTTACATAAGTCAGAGAACGGTTACATTGGGAGCTGCCATACAATTCCGACCTGTGGTTCCTACAGCACTGGCATAATTTAGTTTGAGTCCTCTGTTTTAATGGGCAGGCGAGTTCCATTGTGAGAATCACATTCCTATCTGAGTTTACAAACAAATTCAAGTAGGAGGAATTAAGTAAAGCCCAACTATTATGTCTATTATCTTGACTTAGTTAAACAGTTGACTTTTTTTTTTWAATTTCACTTTGCCAAAGCCTTACTTAATGCATCAATAAATTATGTCTGGCAATGCCTTTGAATCATCATAGATTATGATCCAAATATGGGAGATTGGAATTCATTTGAATTCTTTTATATAGTCACTTTATGTCAGAGGACCCATAGTTGTAATTCTCTGGAAACTCTCATCCCTTGGAAGTCTTTTATCAAAACTCCTTTTTTTTTTTTTTTTTGGCTGACTTACATCCCTGGCTAATGTTTATCTTGAGGTCTCAACAGATCATTTTGCTAATAAGGAGACCGAATATACCAGATTGGCATTCCCCTGCATTTCAGTTCTTTCTTGAGAACAGTTGGATGCTGAAGAGCATTTTATGCCAGTTGAATCTTTCCAGCCTGTCTTGTCTTGTTAGTTGATTTCCTGCAGTTTCCAGAGCTCATCTTAGAACCACATAGCTTGGCACAAGGGTAGAAACTGAATTTCCTTGTCCTAGATGATTGAGTTTTTCATTAATGAATCTTGGTTCTGCCAACCAAGAGAAAAAGATGAGTGGGGAACTGACTCTATTTTATGCTGTTGCTTGACTTTATATTCATTTAATACACTAAACAATTTTGAATGGCGTATACTATTTGAATTTAGTGAGTCATAGTGCAGTCATTCTCTTTTCTTTAGGAGAAAGGAGGAAATGGTTTGCTCAGAAGGTAACCCCTGTGAACTCTTGTATCAGTTCTCATTGCAGAAGAGGTAGAGGGAAGATTTGGAGAA